CCCTATCGAGTGAATATAAAAAATCCCAATCGAAAATCCACATTCCAGAGAGCTAAGCCACGAAAGATAACGACGCAGTAAGACCTGTCACACGCCCGCACTTCCGGCACTGTAATTCGAAAAAAAACAGGAAAAATCGAAAGAGAACCACTGATTCTATTAGAGGAGATTTCGCCCTATCGAGTGAATATAAAAAATCCGAATCCAAAATAAAAATTCCAAAGAGCTATGCCACGAGATGTACCGACGCAGTACGACCTGTCACACGCCCGCACTTCCGGCACTGTAACTCGAAAAAAAACGGGAAAAATCGAAAGAGAACCACTGATTCTATTAGAGGAGGTTTCGCCCTATCGAGTGAATATAAAAAATCCGAATCCAAAATAAAAATTCCAAAGAGCTAAGCCACGAGAGGTAACGACGCAGTACGACCTGTCACACGCCCGCACTTCCGGCACTGTAACTCGAAAAAAAACGGGAAAAATCGAAAGAGAACCACTGATTCTATTAGAGGAGGTTTCGCCCTATCGAGTGAATATAAAAAATCCGAATCCAAAATAAAAATTCCAAAGAGCTAAGCCACGAGAGGTAACGACGCAGTACGACCTGTCACACGCCCGCACTTCCGGCACTGTAACTCGAAAAAAAACGGGAAAAATCGAAAGAGAACCACTGATTCTATTAGAGGAGGTTTCGCCCTATCGAGTGAATATAAAAAATCCGAATCCAAAATAAAAATTCCAAAGAGCTAAGCCACGAGAGGTAACGACGCAGTACGACCTGTCACACGCCCGCACTTCCGGCACTGTAACTCGAAAAAAAACGGGAAAAATCGAAAGAGAACCACTGATTCTATTAGAGGAGGTTTCGCCCTATCGAGTGAATATAAAAAATCCGAATCCAAAATCCACATTCCAGAGAGCTAAGCCACGAGAGATAACGACGCAGTACGACCTGTCACACGCCCGCACTTCCGGCACTGTAACTCGAAAAAAAACGGGAAAAATCGAAAGAGAACCACTGATTCTATTAGAGGAGGTTTCGCCCTATCGAGTGAATATAAAAAATCCGAATCCAAAATAAAAATTCCAAAGAGCTAAGCCACGAGAGGTAACGACGCAGTACGACCTGTCACACGCCCGCACTTCCGGCACTGTAACTCGAAAAAAAACGGGAAAAATCGAAAGAGAACCACTGATTCTATTAGAGGAGGTTTCGCCCTATCGAGTGAATATAAAAAATCCGAATCCAAAATAAAAATTCCAAAGAGCTAAGCCACGAGAGGTAACGACGCAGTACGACCTGTCACACGCCCGCACTTCCGGCACTGTAACTCGAAAAAAAACGGGAAAAATCGAAAGAGAACCACTGATTCTATTAGAGGAGGTTTCGCCCTATCGAGTGAATATAAAAAATCCGAATCCAAAATCAAAATTCCAAAGAGCTAAGCCACGAGAGGTAACGACGCAGTACGATCTGTCACACGCCCGCACTTCCGGCACTTTAATTGGAAAAAAAAAACGGCGAATATCCGAAAAAAATAGCAAACTAATTAGCATGGGGTATATTCTGACGTGTGACGACGAAAATGCCTAACCGAATGTCAAGGTTCCGATAAGCTGAGCGAAAAGATATAATGACGCAACACGACCTGCCACGCCCTTCCATTTTCGGTATTATGTTTCGATAAGAAACGTCGAAAATCCGAAGAAAATCGGCCAGCTAATTTCGCCGTTTATTCGATGCTAATAAAACGAAATTTTCTTATCTACAATTGAGAATAGATTACTATGCAATTCCTTTACTTTCCTCTCGTTACTTTAGTCTAGAGATAAACGAAATCGAATATGACTTATAGAAATTATTAGAAGACTACGATTCCCTGCCTATGTCAACAAAATATCGCAATGGTCTAACGGAATCTATAACGTATAATCGAAACTGTGTTCCTATCCAATATCTTCATATGTTTGCACTCGTATCACTTCGCATATCACTTTACACGTGCACTATTTAACCTCACCGTATTCCACATGTGGTGTATTGTGATGACACAAATATTCGCACTCAAATTCCTTGATCTCGTAGTTCTCTCAATTTTTCAGTCTTTCGCTGTGACCCACTCGTAAATATTCCAATACGTTTGGAAAAGTAACCTCTAATTGCGATGTAATACATTAATAACCGATACCGCACATTATTCGTCTTTGAATACACATTTCCTCGATTGCAGTAATTGAAATATCAGTCGGTGATAACACGATTTCCCGAAATGTTTCGTTAAGACACCAAAAGTTTTACTTTTACGCTTGTAAACATTCCATGATGTTACCGGTTCGTTGACGGTTGTAGCTACTAGAAGTTTCTGCGGCTAACGGGCGATGCATTGTTGTGGCAGGAAGATACTTCATCTTTGAAATATTCTTGTTATAGTCTCGTTGTATAATTTAATATAATATTATGTTATACAATCTAAAATTTGTTAAAAGCGCAAAGTATAGCTTATTTTGGGATGGGTGGTAGGTATGGGGTATTGAATCCCTTTGATTAATATCAATTCTAGCCATTAATCGATTTAATTACAGATTAGTACGTATATTTTCTTTGTACTAATAATAGTTAATAGTACTGATTGTAGGTATATACACACTAAACCTCGTTTCCTACCGAGTCGATAATGTTGGAAATTGTATTAAATGGTAACTTCATTGTCGTCAAGACTGAGTACAACGAATTGCGTTAACGTGTATATATAATTGCTGTACATACTTCACTGTAATATGTAATAAATTTAGATGAAATAATAAATCTACTTTAAACTTTATATATGTCTTTATAGTGAGCAGTGTTTTCTCCAAAACTCTCTTCGATGGTAACTTATCGGTGTACACTTTCCTCCGTTGAACAGGTACCTTTCACTGATATTTCAGTACATCCTACTTTTCGAACATTATACACTTCTTAAATTAATATTTCCTACTTTTTACATCTCATTTATAATGTCAGAAAGTATTTTTCAGTGACCATCACTTATACAGGTATAATTTCCATTTTTCAACTATTATGGGAAACATACCCATTCATTGAAACCTTAGTCTTTATATTTTGTAAATATCGAGTACTTTTTTTCGAATTCGATCAACCATTTCTCTTATTTAAACAAATTTTCAAATAAACTGAATCCCTATTTTTCTTCGTGTTTTTTATTCCACAAATTTCCCAAATTATCGTAGATCAATGATACATGATCGTACACGCAAGTAGATATTACAATCGATTGGGAATATCCATTGATCGCGAATCGAAGAAACAGGTAACCGGTTTCGCTCGATACTTTCTTTCTCCTTGAACTTGAAAGATCGAGCCAGCCTTTCTATTTCACGTCGGCGTGAAGAAGAAAGCGCGTGCATCGGTCGAGCAACGCTGGATGCTGTTTAAGGTGCCGAAAAGCGGAGGGAAAGGACAAGTGATGGGTTCACGTGCAGCGAGGAGGTGTACAGATGAACCAAAGCCGCGTGCCAGGAGGACAGCCAAGGTAAAATAAGCAGGTGAGATAGAGAGAGTTGGAAAGTAGGCCTTAGTCGTTCAGTCAGTAGTCAACTGCGTCCCCAGACGATTGGTTGTCGTAATGGTAAGTCCCAGTGGCTCTGGTGTTATTTTTCTGGAAATTTCTTCCAAGTTAACTGTCGTGAAAAATCGAATTCTGTCGTTCCGCATTAAAAATATAATATTTGAACGTGTCGAGGACTCGAATAGTGTCGCACCTCCAACAGTAAAAATTAGTGAGATTATTCGTACCATACTATCCGTTGGTGTTATAGCTAATATACCTGGTTACGTGAGCTCGAGCGAAGTAAAGGATTAAATTTTTAGTGAATAAAATGAATCTTTATTTGTTGAAATAATCGAACGGGTTCTTCGATTATTGTGACATATCGTGACACGATTGTCAAAGAAAAAGTGTCGAAACCCTGAATGAGTGTTGCATAGCAATGATATCGCATCGTTGTCGTTCGAATTTGAATCAATTGACGAATGATGCCAGTGACGATTAAATCGGATACGTTCGTGACTACTCGTAGATCTTAAATGATTTAGGATCGTGAATGGAGGCGACAGTAAACCCTTGACTGAAGCTTGTTCGACTGTTTGTACGAGTTAACGTGCACAAGTATCGATAGGCTCGTTGCAACGCGTGAAAAGGGTCATGTCGTCGAAAAGGAAAGTGACTTTCATTTTCAAGGATAATTATCGTAAATCATCCGGCGTGTCTAATTTCACTGGTTATCGCTATCACTCCACATAACACTTTTTTCATTACACGAAACACTTATAGCGCCGTGAAATCGAGCCACGGCGGTTTAAATCGTCGTTCCTGTTTTCT